TGAGTTGTGCTGAGCTTAGAAGACGAAGGCACCGAGCAGGTGGAGATGCTGAGAGGAGGGGGAGATGGCGTCTTTCCGAGAGGACAGGTCCTGATGCCACCTTGGCGGAATCCCAGGGGATGGTGCCATTCTCCTCCGAACCGGGAGCCTCCGTCCAGGAGGGAATCGGATGCATGACGGACCCCCCCTCCCCCACGGCCTCTCCCTCCGTCCAACCAGACAGGACCCAGCCACACCGCCGGGCCTTCAGGGTCGCAGTGAGAGCAGGAAGCCCAGAGCACAGGGCGGGGCAGCCAGGCAGGGCCAGGGCGATGGTGGAGGTCCCCCCGCTGGCTGGCGGGCATCCCCACCCGGAGCCAGAACTCAGGCCCCCAGACTGAATCCAAGGCCATTTCTGCAAAGTGATCGGGCATTTGCTTCCTGTGTTTCGGTCCCTAACTGGAGGGTGGTATTTCCTCTTCTGTCTGAGCAGACAAACTACAGTGATGAGAGAGCATCACCCCACCTTCCACCCGAGGGGAGGGGCCGTTCACTCCAGGGGCCTCCCTCTCTTTCTCCCTCCCTCCTCCCTCTTCCTTCCCCCCTTCCCTCCCCCAGCCCCGCCCCTTTCAGGAGGGCAGGCTGGCGCTGGGAAAGTGCCCCTGGCGGGCAGGGCATCGGGAGCCAGCACCGCCTGCTGCCAATTCACAGCTGCCGAGCCCACGAGGCCTTCACACGGGCACTTGGCAGGCGGCCCCGGCTCTCCGGATAATGGCGTTTTGTTAGCACAGAGGAGCCAGCGTGTGAACTGGGCTGGCACGGTGACCTCGGCAGCCCTGGCAGCCCTACCACGAGCTCTGGTGCCCTGGAGCTCGGCACCAAACCCAGGTGCTTAGACCAAACCCCAGCACCTTCCCGGGAGGGCCCACGGGCCCAGGGGCATCTGTTCAGGCCCAGGTCCAGGTGGGCAACTGAAGGTAAATCGACTGAATACAGGGGTCCCACTGAATGTCCACGTGGTCCGGCCGGCATGGATCTGTGGTTGAGCGTCGACCTAGGAACCAGGAGGTCACGGTTGGATTCCCAGTCAGGCCACATGCCCGGGATGCGGGCTCCATTCCCAGCGGCTGCCCTTGACCAGGAATCGAACCTGGAACCTTTGAGTCCGCAGGCCGAGGCTCTCTATCCACTGAGCCACACCGGCCAGGGCCTGAGCCTATATCTTATCACTGATTTCTCATGATTCCCAGTTGGGCGGCATTTCCTGCTCAGGGTCAGGCGAGACGGAGCCCGGCTCCTCCCCACCGAGGCGACGGGGAAGGTCATGGGGTCTGGCCTGGGTCTGGACCCCTGGGGAGAAGAGCTCTGCACACAGGGACTGTCCGGACTGGACAAGGCCATCGTAGTCGCCAGCTCTCGGAGGCGGCGGCAGGGCGTCTCCCATCGCTCCAGTCTCACCCGTGACCCTCAGAACCCGCTACTGTCTGCCCCAGTAAGGAAACTCCCCAATGATGGAGACCGCTTCCTTCTGTCCTCACACCTCCCCTTCTCCTCCCAGGCCTCACCCACATGTATCAAACCCGTGTTCTCTACAGAATATTCATCTTGTATATATTTTTATTGATTTCAGAGAGGAAGGGAGAGGGAAGCATCCATGATGAGAGAGAATCATGGATCCGCTGCCTCCTGCACGCCACACACTGGGGATCCAGCCCGCAATCCAGGCATGTGCCCTGACCGGGAATTGAGCTGTGACCTCCTGGACCCGGGCGTCAGGCACCGGTGGTGGCACCGCTACCCAGGGAAATGGTGCTGCAGAGAAGCAGCATAGAATCGGAGAGCGCAGCGAGGCCACTTCAGTCTTCCCAGATCAGGCGGCGTGGGGGCCGTGGGGGTGGAGAGGGTGGTGGTGGAGTGTCCGACCCCAAATGGACCAGCTGCACCACCTCAGGGAA